ATTTATGAAGTTCACTTGATGCTTTGTATGCTCATTTAATGAGCAGACCTACATTGTCTATTCTCATTTAATGAGCAGACCTATGCAAAATTCTCCTTTGAGATATTGCTGATATCTGCATTTAATGCTAGCTGACCTACACGCCTACTACTGTGTACTTAAATTTATGAGTACACCAGTTCGTATAAATAACTGTTTTACCAAATCTTTAATTTCAGTACTCTTACAATCATTAATGCCCTTGAGCCACACACTCTAAAACACTGTCAGTTGATAGCTGCATTAATTGCCAGCAGCTCTTCAGTCCAGTTGTGCTGGTAAGTTCATCCATGACTTCCCTATGTACTATAAATACTGTATCCCTCATAAAAGTGATTTTTAAATTGATTTTTCATATTACATAGTTACTTTAAGCATGTATTTTATAAACATTAGCCAATTGCGCAACAATTTTTCATATATTTTACCCAAATTACATGGTTTCAACTTCGAACTGGTGAAGTGTCTTTTAAAATTTTGACACTTCAATCTAATTTGGGCAGATATTATTTAAACATCCATATATATAAATATATAGACATCAGTTTGTTTTTAGAATACATACACATATAACAAACTACATATATATAATTAATTTTTTTTAAGTATGCCTATATTCACTGCTTTTGAAAAAATGTACTTATTTCATTTTCTAAAAACATTTATTGTTATATACATATCTGAATATTGCTGATCCATTATAAAAGAATCTTTTAATTTCATGGTTCGTTTTACAAACTTAATTTCAGTACTTGAATTTTTGAATTGAAAATAAACACTCTCTGGTTTATACGAATTGTTTGTTGCTTATATTCAATCTTGAAACAATTTATAATAAAAGGTTTTGCAAAATACTTGGTTTTTTGGAGTAAAGTTAAACTTTAAAAGATAAGATGACATTTTAACTGCTTTTTAACCTGTTTTGATCAATAATTCAGAAACTTTTTTTTAAATGAGTAAGATAACATCTAAGTCATCAGTTACATAAAATCTTTGTGATCTTATTCACTAACTTATGATGTTTGCAGGTATTGCACAATTCTTCATTAATGTGGATGTTTTGCCTTAGTTTTCTGACTTAGAAAATTGTTTAGGGATAGTTTAGGGACCTTAGAGGGTTGCCAAAAATGTAATATATTTAAGGGGTCTGTAATATTAATTAGTCCAAATAGGAAATGCAGGTGGTGTTCTACGGCTGTTTGAGGTATGTACTCCATTCACCAACTCAGTTCCCATTTTATTTCTATTCTTTCTTAACAGTTGTAACTCATGAATGTGTATTCATACGTAATATTCTAACGCATCAAGTGCAAAACCAATATCACTTTTCCATTAAAACCATTGCTTTACAACATTAATAATATTTACATTTTGGACTTGATATAAACTCATGCTTAGTGCCTCCTAGATCACCTCGGTGGACTTTAGAAGGTCCATTGTCCTTGACCTTAGCCTCATCCTTATGTACTCCCATGACCTGAATGAAATTCATATGACCTGGAGAATATAAACATTGAAGTATTATTTTTTAAATCTATTCTCACAAACTGTTGAAGTGTTGCCGGTGTCCTGCAAAATAAACATATGAAATCATCATATCGATAATACATTTTTTCAACAGTTTGTACTTAGTTCCCATAGGAGAAATATAGTGTCATGCTTAGTTTGTCCACACTGCCAAAAGTAAGACACAATCATGCCCAACTATGTGTTTTAGGCTACAACCCAACACCACAAAACAAAATATAAGTCCAAGGATGCCTCAGTACAAAACATAAGTCCCGACCAACAGACTGGCCCTTGTTCTTCAGAGTGGTTCTTCTTTAATTTTTATCTTCAGCTTCTTCACAACACCACTTGTAGAGAATTCATCTATCAGATTCCTTTTGAGTTGTCCATCCATTTCCACCTCCACCACCTTCTGCGTACCCAGTGGGGGTGAGTCTGGTAGGTCAATTGCCTCGACAACCTTTTTAAGAAAAAATGTAAGCATATCTCTTTAATATATAACCCTATTTAGACAAATGTATAAGAGTAATACAGTCTGTACCTCTTGTTTTTGAACATCTTTCCCTTTTTTCCTCGCTGTAGAACTTTCACCATTGTGCAGACTTGACCCAATCTAAATGTAAGGTATTGGTCATTATTTTCTATTATACGAAACATATACTTTTACTATGAAGCACCAAAAAGTAAATCTTCTATAAACTCCAAAACCATTGAAAATACCTTCTCAGTTGGAGTGTCATGCACTGATTCTTGTTCCTTATCCGCTCCATACAATGCCAGAACCTTAGGGTCTCTTATCATGGTCACCACAGTAAATGACTTTGTTTTCTTGTAAGTATTCTCCTCACTTTTTGTCTTCAGTTGTATTTTAAACAAGGTCTTTTGGTCAACCAAGCTTTCTATGTCTTCTGGAAATCGAGTTTGGTCTTCAGTCTTCTGTTTTATTCAAACCATTTGCATTAGGCATAAAGTTTTTTAATTTTGATAATTTCACATATAAATTGAAATCAAGTTTTTGCCTTCTCCATCTCAGCCATCAGAAAAGCAGATGTTTTTCCAAAAACTTCAATACATTCCCTGTCCCACAGAATGAAGGTTGAATGACCAGTCTGGTCCATGATGCAAATGCTGACTTTGTACCTAAAATGAATGCAAAATATTTTTCGTGAGACTCAATTCACAAAAATCATAGCTACATACCATAACAATTCTCTTACCGATACACCCCATCTGCCATTGTGACATGGCAATTGGTACACATGAACCTATCATCCTCTAGTTTTAGTTTTTTGTAGCATGTGGGACAGCCAAGGTAACATCATTCTCTATAGTTTTCAAGAGACACAATGTCTCCGATGATCCAGTAAACCCCATCCTGTTTGTAAACACAATATTTGACATAAGCGTTGAAAATGTCCTAACATAAAAGAATAGGTCATCTTGTACACACCTCTGTAGCCTTAACCAATTCCTGAATAGTCGTTATGACAGCTTGACCCGCAAGGACATCTTCCCGGCTCCCATCACTGTGGGAAGATTGTGAGACGACTGTGGCTGTGACGCTGTCATCACCATCTACAGGAAATCTGTAATATAGCGCAGAGTTCATTATGAGTATAGTTTTTATAAGCCTTCAATACCCTGCCTGCTTTTCAAAAAATTCTTACTCGCTTTGAAATTCAATAAACTCGCTTGAGTTCCCATTGATTATCAGTTTCGACACATCAAATGAAGATGATACAGATAGGGTGCCTGTCATGAGTAATTAGTTTTTTAGCATCATACTGTTTTCGCCTGATGGCAGGAGTCATAAACATCCCTACAAAAGAGATTACCTTGGTATCTCTTTGGCCTGCATAGCTGAAAAATTACATACATAGGCCTGCCCACATTTTCGGTCACATACTCCATATACTGGTCTATGTACTTGTTCCACAATACACATCCGATTCGGTTCCCTCTGTAATTTATAAAAGTTATTTAATAATAAATATTATTCATGCTCCATAACAATTTCTCTCTTATGTCGAGATTGTATAAAATGTTTAAACAAAACTCACTCAGGGTCTCCTAATGTCAACTCCATCATCCTCTCAGCCCTTCCACTTATGATATGGTTTTGAACGCCGCTCTTACATATGACTTTGCCTATGACATCTATTACCAAATTCCAGCATAAGATATTTATTTCAGTAAATTAAATTGTAAAAGTTTTGGGTTGTCCTCACCAATCAATTTTTTGTCGTTGACGACGCGTTGAGCCTGCAGCATGTCAAATGGCTGAAAGTCGTACACCATAATTGGCAACTCTGTCCTAGTGTCTTCGGTGAACTGAGTTTTGCTGATGAATTGAATCAAATAAGGATGGTCACTTGTTTTGACGGTTTGGTAGTTGTCCAGGACCAAAAACGTCCTCAGAGCGTAAGTTTTGTTTTCCTTGATCATGGTCTTGTAAACCTCCACCTGTGGCCTCTTTATTATAGCGTGAATGCGGTCTCCCTAAATACCAAATGTGGGCAGTGTGAATATAATAATAATATAATAATAATAGTAATAATATTATTATGATAATATAGTATTATATGTTTTTGATATCAAAATATGTTTTTGATATCAAAATGAAAATTCTGTGAATATGTTTTTCTACCAGCTCATCATGCAACACCATCTCGAGTGTTGCCCCCCCTTTTGAGTGAGGTGGGACTTCGTATGCTCTGACCACCCGCACCCTTAAGGCCCAAGTGGTCTTGGTATGATCAACATCCTTGATCAGGGACCACATGCCTCTTTGTGTTGAGGAACCTGTCATAGCTCACAAATAACTTAGGAAACTTGAAAATACAGAGAATGTAAAAGAGATCAGCTTGGTTGTGGTGTGGTTTCTGACCTCTTTTATGGGTATTTATATTGGGAAATGGAGGAAGTGGTGTAGAGCAAATTGTGTTATTGTGTAATAACCATTGGTCAAGGCACACCCCATTAAATGTGAAGTTGCCATTTACTATCACAGCCAGTACATTGCATTTATTGTTGTGTGGCTCAAGAAAGGCAAAAAGAGTAAATGTGCTGCCTGTGGAATTTCGAGTACAATGCTCCCATTTTTTTAGAATTGCAGCACTCTATTCAATGTGAAGTTGCCATTTACTATCACAGCCAGTACAGTGCATTTATTGTTGTGTGGCTCAAGAAAGGCAAAAAGAGCTGTAGATGTGCTGCCTGTGGAATTTCGAGTACAATGCTCCCATTTTTTTAGAATTACAGCACTCTATTCAATGTAAAAAGACTAAATTTGTGGCCTGTGGAATTTCTAGTACAATGCCCCCATTTTTTAGAATTGCATGACATGATTCTGGACCCACTCTAACAGGCCCGGCCCATTACTGTTCATTTTTTGGGCGGGAACACTGTGCAGTTTTCATTTTGCTTTTGTATAATAGAAGATAGTGACATACTTAACTCATACACTTTGACATAGTAATGCTTGGATACATTGTTTGAAATGTGGAATCTCCCATGCTGTTGAGAGGAGTATTTGAAGCTTTTACATGAGTGAACAAGAGTTGGGATTTTCATCACTAAACATAGAGGTGAAGGGATCAGTGTTAGGGTTTGGGAGATTAGCATTGTGAACATTCCTCACAAAACCAGATGGAGCCTTCTTGTCATAAGCTCCAGGGGCATAAGGGTTAGATACCAAATCATACTTCACATAGGGCCAGAACTCTGCCTTTTTACCCGTGCGTTCAATTTTCCTCAACACCTTATTTCGATCCACATAACCTGTTACTGTCAACCTGTTTTGCTTTCTATTTACCTCCACTGATCTCGCTCCTGATGAAGATAAATCCATTAGGATTTGGGAATCAATTAAAAGAAGTCAAAAGTTTAAAGTATTTGCAGTCTTTATTGTACTGCGTATATACGTATTCATTAAATTAATCATCTAAAGTCTTCAATACTAATATAATATTGTGTGGCCCAAATATATTATTTGACATATACGAGATTTCATCTCTTTTAATATAATATACGATAGTATGAGATTTCATCTCTTTTAATATAATATATTATTTGGCAAGAACGCGGTCCAACATAGACGGTTGCCGGCTCACTCTGTCATATATATAGGAAGTCCCAAGTTTGAAACTTCATGGATGCGGTTTCAACCCGCTTTACCCCAGATTCCCCAGCCCCCTCCCCCCCAACCCCCCATGGGGTTAAAATACATATTAAGAGAGATAAATGCTAAATGATACTACCTCCATCTTACGTCGTACTACCTCCGTCTCGGTGGACTTTGACAAGTGCAAAGTAGGTGAGAAATAAGAATAGTAAAAACTGTGTGATTGAGATTTGTGCAGAGGAGTGATATATGTGCAGAACCACAAATTAATTGCTTTAATAGGAAAGTGACAAAGTTTATTGGACAACCAAAAAAGGAAAGTTGACAAAATCCAATAGAACAGAGGGAGTATAAAGTAAGATGCACTTTAGTTTGGTGCAGTTTTGAGAAAATAAAGAATTGAGTGGTTGTTTTACCCTTCTAAACTCCAAAAAGTAAAAGAGTTGGAAGAATCCACAAAAACTAAAGGATGAATGATAATTGATAAAGGAATAAAGTGAAAAAGAAAAATATCAATGAAAACCAATTAGGAAAAGTGATCATATTTTTAGATTGTAGGAAATTGTATTTTACAAAATGGGACAGAGAGGTTAATTAGAGATGGGCATTTCAATTTTAATTTGGATTTTATTAATTTTTTATTTACTTTGAATAGATTAGGAGAATTATTATCAAAACAGTTATTGGACACTTGTAGATGTTAGTAACATAGATGTTCTGAAAGCGATAAACTGAACTACTCACCCTTGAGGGAAGAAGCTGCTTTCTTAACCTTTCTTTCGCATCCGTCGCAATCTATTTTTACTTTGATGTCAACTGTCTGTAATAATCAGCAATTAAATGCGCTTATGAACACACATATATACGTATAACATAACTAAACATATATACATGATCAAAGTAGTAAGGGAAAACAAATGATCAAATATATAACTTGAAGAAAAATGATACTAATTCCTAATTAAAAAGGAATTTAAACGAAAAAAACTCTAAAAATGACAATAACATAACACATTCCCTTCAAATAAAAGATTTTTGCAAGAATGCAATCCATAAATGGCGTTAAAGATGCTCAATTTCGATAACCCGATGAGATAACATAAACTTAATTAGACTTCTACGGATGTAAGAACTCAACATAACTTCAAAAGGTGACACTCATCCCATGGATGTAAATTCAATTTTGATCACAGACCGGTGGATAAATGGAGGAGTGAGCGGTGTTCATGTCTAGGTCTATGCCAGAAATTGAACTCGAAACCTAGAAACTCTCCCTACCAATTGAGCTACGCCCCAACATAACCTAACATCGAAATGCGCGTGCATGTAAAGGAATAATATATACTAGTACTTCCTAATGGAATATATATATATATATACATATAAAACGCAGTTCTTTCATAACTCATTTGACGACATTCGGATTGATTTTTTTGCTGAAATTTGGTATGGATGAACTAGACTTCATGAAGAACATACACAAAAAATTTCAGACAAAAAACACCACCGGAAACCACCTCAAATCTGGGTTCTCATTTTAAGAGGGGTTCTCACCCGAACCCATATATATATATATATATATATATATATATATATATATATATATATATGCTAAAAGCAGTTGAATGTAAAAATTAAACTGACCTACCTGCATGAGTCTACGCTTGTACTTCCTTCTGCTCTTATTAGCATAAAAAAAGTTTGATAGATGATCAAGAAAACCCATTCCTTTTTTGCTGCTTGTTGAGTGCGGAAAGCTAATGGGAGCTAGGGAACAATGGGCGATGTTTAGGGGAAGTTTGTGGCTTAATTATATTGTATTATTGTGTTTGACTTTATGTAATTGTGCATATATATACGGAGTAGAGTAGCTAGGTAGATGATTAATTAATAATTATGAGCAGTCAATTACTAGTCATTGATATGAAGGAACATGTCCACAAGCAGAGTCTGGACATTAAAAATATTTGCTTACTTAAATAAAGGTCGAAGAAAATGACTTGTGCCTGTTTATAATCATTCTACATCTATAGGAAGATCAGTAATTATGCCCGCTGGACATCTGGACGATTGGGAGCATTACTTGTGTTGATCAATTAATAGGGGATCACACTGGAAGACAAGTGGTCTGTACTCCGTAATTGTTTTGATTTCTGTTTAAATTAAAGTTTATTGTTTTTAATTGTCACACTGACCGTAGCAAAAATAATTTTTACCTTCATTCACGAATAGTACGAACAACTGGGTTTACCTATGTTGGTAGTGTATTTAGGATGTTTTGTGTTGATCGGTGGTAAAGCATTCCAAAAACCTCAGGAGAGCGGAGGATCCGCTTTATGGCCGATGAGAGGCGTCCCCCTCGAGACAAGGGCAAGAGACTGCTCCATGCTGATGACTTCAGGCACCAAGCGCACACAACCGCTTCTGCCTCCCATGCGGATCTCAAATATGAGGCCATGCTGGCCAAAATGGAGGAAATGCAAAGGAAGATTGTTGAGGGCTCCGGGAAAGCTGTCGTCCAGCTTCGCACGAAGACGCCTTTCACCCCAAGGGTACTGGCAGCTCAGATCCACGGAAAGTATCGGGGACAATCCATAAAGCCCCATGAGGGGAAGACGGATCCCCAGGATACTATAGCAGGTACCAAAATAGCATGATGATTATGGGGGCATCAAATGAGTATTTGTGCTGTTGGTTCCTTTTCACCTTGGAAGGACCGACGTACGAATGGTTCAACCGACTGCCCGAAGGCAGCATTGATTCGTGGCAAGAGCGGGGAGACTGATACGCAGAGGCCGAGGAGGTGGAAAAGTGCCACCAAAACCCAGAGCAGCAGCGTCCGAGGGCAGATGACAAGAACCACAGGGGGCCGAGAGCTCCATTCCACTAATCCAAAGGTTCAGCCCCCTCAGGTGATCGCCCCCGGCATGGCCAAGCCATGTCCGGAGGGGGTTACAAGAACAACCCGAAGGCCTGGGCCCAACCCGTTCTTCTGGAGCACCCTCGGACCCCCCTGACGCACCCTATCAGCGTCATTCTGGACTACGCCGAGGAGAGGGGCTATTGGAGCGAGATTCTAGGGCACCTCGGGAGGTCTACGCCATCAACCCCGAGAAACCTTACTGCTGTTTCCACCGACACCAAGGCCACCGAACAGATGACTGCCACCAGCTGAAGGCAGTTATCGAGAAATTGATAGAACGGGGTCACCTATCCCAATTCATAAGGGGATACCCTCATCAAAGCCCCATGCGAAGGCAAACGCCTGGGTTAATCCAAACACCATCCCCCTCGACGACCCGAAGGGCAAAAAAAGGGAGATCGGCAACCTCAGCGAGGAAGAAGGGTACAACTAGTGCCAAGAGAGGAAGCGTCACATCCACATGATCACCGGCGGCAACACGAGAGGAGACTCCACCAACCAAAGAAAGAAGTGGGCGCAATCCCTTTACGTAGGGGAGATCACTCATATGCCTCCCATAGGGGAGGTCACTCATATTCCCCCCATTATATTCACCAACGCCGATCTCCCCCCAAGTTCCTTCCCCCACAGGGACGCGCTAGTAATCCAGAGTGAGATCAATAACACCATTGTCCACAGAACTTACGTTGACACGGGCAGTTCTGTCAACGTAATGTACCTCAGCACATTCAAAGAGCTGCATTTGGAGAGAGGACCCCTTCGGCCCATCCGGACCCCTCTGTCCGGCTTCACTAGAGACACCATAGACTCCAAGGGGGTAATATCCCTTCCAGTACTCTTCGGCGATGGGCTCCATAGATCAACATAGATTGCTCCCACAACATCATCCTCGGCCAGCCTGCCCTCGAGGACCTGGAGGCAGTCATCTCCATGAAACACCTATGCCTCAAGTTCCCGGCCGAAGGAGGCATCAGGTACTCAAGGGGGAATCAGAAGCTATCGCGCGCCTGCTACCTCCAAATAACAAAGAAGGTTAGCAAGGTTGAGTTCCGTGTAGACACCATCACCGGAACATTAGAAGGAGAGAAGAAAAGGCCGAAGGCGGAACCAGCAGAGGAGGTGGAACACTTTGCACTCGACCCGAACAAGCCGGAGAGAGTCGTAAAGATTGGAGCCATGCTCCCTGAAGACTTGAAGACTGACATCACAGAAGCCCTCCGGGACTACTCCATTATTTTTGCATGGGGGGCGGAGGACATGCCTGGAATCAGCCGAAGGGTGATCACTCACCGCCTGGCGGTGGATCCTTCCTCGAGTCCTGTGCAGCAGAGGAGAAGACCCCTCTCGACCGAAAGAAGGGATTTCATGAAGAAAGAAGTCGCTATGCTCCTCTCCATCAAACACATCAGGGAGGTAAAATACCCTTCATGGCTAGCTAATGTGGTCGTAGCGCAAAAACCACCCACCTTCCGCATGTGCGTGGATTACACATACCTGAATAAGGCATGCCCAATGGATCTTTTCCCTTTACCGAACATTGACCAGCTGGTGGATGAAACGGAAGGCTGCGAGATCATGTCATTCTTTGATGCCTTCCGAGGGTACCACCAAATCTACATGCACGAAGAAGACGCAGAGAAGACAGCCTTCATGACTCCCGAAGGCATCTTCTGTTATCTAGTTATGGCCTTTGGCTTAAAGAATTCAGGTGCCACTTACACCCGGATGGTGGCCAGATTCTTTCAAGCCGTCCTAGGGCGCACCATGGAGGCTTACGTCGATGGCATGATCGTCAAAAGCAAACAATCCACGAGCCATGCTAATGACCTACGAGAGATCTTTGTCATCATGCAGAAGTTCAACCTTCGGCTGAACCTAAGGAAGTGCATCTTCGGCGTGCAGGGAGGGAAGTTCTTGGGCTACATGGTGAGCCGAAGGGGTATTGAGGCCAACCCTGAGAAAATCCAGGTCATCATCAACATGGATCCCCCATGCAACGTAAAGGAAGTTCAGAGGCTAACGGGCCGCTTGGCAGCCCTCAACCGTTTCCTATCCAAATCAGCAGAGCAGGTCCTTCCCTTCTTCCAAATAATGAGAAAGACCGTTGGCTTCCAATGGACTACTGAGTGCTAAGTAGCCTTTGAGGAATTGAAACACTACTTGTCTTCACCCCATGTGCTCTCCAAGCCCAATGTGGGGGAAACATTATACCTTTATCTTGGCGTTATCCCCGCAGCCATCAGCTCAATTCTGATCCGGGAGGAAGAGGGCATTCAACATGCCATCTTCTATGTTAGCAAGACCCTCAGGGAGGCAGAGCTCAGGTATTCTCCCGTGGAGAAGACAGTACTAGCTATCGTTTGGACCGTCAAGAAGCTAAGCCATTACTTACAGGCCAATCCGGTTCAGATCCTCACACACCAACCCCTCGGTGCACTGATGAGGAGCCCCACCAGCTCCTCACGGATGGTGAAATTGGCTATCTTCCTTAGCCAACACAACATTGAAACTTGTCTGAGGCCTGCCATAAAGGGCCAATGACGTGCATTTGTTGTGAGGTGCACTCAAAATAAATACAATACAACGAATATACGTAGTATAACGAAGTAAGGTTTGTATCCACATGGAAAGGAATATTTATCTTTATAATAACAGTAACGAAAGGGGGGGTTTTGAGTTTGATTTGATTTAATGTAATTAACACTAAGATGATCAACTTATATGAGTTTAAATAATAGAGATGCAGACTTGGTTTTGCTTTTATCCACTTAATGAAATGTTCGTCGATCCCGGTTATATCTTTAACTATCTTCCTCTCGAATACTCAATCGAGAAGTATATCCAGTTCATCGAGGGTAGTTATTAATAACGAGATGCGTTCATTAATAAAACTTACTATCGAGTCAATATAGAACAAGCGCCGTATATTAATTCGATAGTAGCAATAAGCTTAAGATGAAAACGATTGAGATTGATAACCTCAACACAAGCGATTTATTGGTTTAATCAATATAATTAATTCCCATTGGTTTATTAACCATGAGATGCATGCATTAACAATCCAAGTTTACTACCTTTGAAGGAACCGAATTAATAACAAGCGTATTAACCGATTGATTCTAGTAATAATTAATAGATGAGGCAAAACTAGTTGATCTTCAAAGTAATGCTCAAAATATTAATATGGAATATGAATAGGAAGTAATTAATATTCAAGGAAAAAGGTTAAAGAAAATAACTCACAACTTACAAATCATTAAGCTTCAAAGTAGCAAAACCAAGATGGAAGAGTTTAGCTCCTCATTTGGAGACTAAACATGAAGAAAATATAAAGAAAGAACTATTCTAGACTGAGCTTAGAAGTGTATAGGAAATTGGATATCTCATTATGAAGGGAAGGGGGTATATTTATAGGCTCTTAGGATGCAGCCTGGGTACCCGATCGGGTATATACACGGTACCCGATCGGGTATGTGTAAAACGTCAACTTCGAAGCATACTCGATTGATTCTGGCTATATTCTGAAGGTATACCCGATCGGGTATGTTTTAATACCCGGTCGAGTATGTGTAGAAAGTGATATTCGAGCTATACTCGACTGAATTTGGGGTTAAACTCAAAGGCATACCCGATCAGGTATGTCGGTCTACTCGGTCGGGTATAGACATTCGATCGTGGCCAAAATCTTCTCTGCATGTTCCTTTGTCTTCGGATCCGATCCGATTCGAAATTTCACCAAGATACCCGATCGAGTATAGATGATACTCGACCGGGTATAGACCAAAAAATCAGGATCTTCCCTTTGTCTTGTGATTTTGCACCTTCCTTCCACTTTTGGGGTTCACCAACTGTCCTTTGAGTGATAATAGACCTGTTTG